GTATGTATAGAGAGAGAGAAGTTGGGTTTGTTTGTTTTTTTTACAATTTTTATATACTTTTTTTTTCCTGTAGCAGCTTCCCAGCTGGCACCTTAAAGGCACTTTTAAAATTTTTCTCCTTGGAAAATGGAAACAGAACTGATAAACTTTTCAGTATTGCTCTTGATCACCCCAGGAGCTGAAGAGCACGGTTTTCAGGAATATTAGAAAAGGGTTGTTTAAAAAAAAGAAGAAGAAGGAAAAACTCCAGGCAAGGAAAAGAGATGAGCAAATACACATTTATATTCTGGTTTAACCATCTGACACAATTTGGTAATATTAGAGCAAGTTTTCAAAAAAAGTAAGAAATTCTAGGAAGGAGAAAGGTTAGCAATTCAACATTTATAAATAGGGTACTCTTTGCAGGTACATGAAATTACTCAGCAAATATATATATATACACACACACATATACACACACAAATATAAGGTGGGATAAAAATCTAGTTAAATACACACACACATGGATATCATTAACAGAATAGCATTGGGTTAGAAACACAATTTACCAAGAACCACTGAGTTCAGTAGCTTTACTGCTAATTAATTGAGATTTCCTTTACCTTGCAGCCTAAAGAACTGAAACTGAGGATTTTTCAACCTTGGATAATCCCCATGGCCAATTTTTGGGAAGACAATGATCCCCTTCTACTCAAGATTTCAGTTTTTGCTGAAAGTTGGCACTTATTTCTAAAACACCGATCCTGCACTGTCAGCATTGGATAATATGCACAGCACATAGTCATTAGTCTATACTAAAATTAAGCCTCTTTATTCAAGGCAGGCCGTTGCTAAGATTAAACACTATACACAATTCTCTTGTAAGTGTGAGATACAGGATAGTGAGAACTATTTTTATGTGATGGAGTTGAGACTCGGTGTATCTTTTTGGATTGGTTCTCTTGAGGATTGGGGGATGTTTAAACTCAAAAGGTATCTGAATTGTTTTGTAAACTTATATGCTGGCCTTCAAGAAATGTACCCCAACCTCATAAAAATAAACATGAAATGCTAAATATACAATAAATAAAATATCAATAAACAGTAGAATGGTAGTAGAAACTACCATTCAAGCAGTCTTATAATTGCTAACATGCAAAGAAAAATGAAAAATGTTTGTCTGATCTTGTGGTAAAAATGAATTAAAAGCTTAGAGAAGTATTCCAAGAATGGGTTTATTATCCTTAGACTAGTTTTTCTGGTTGCAAAACACCTTGACTTCTTTCTGTGGGGAGAAGTGAAGCTGCCCACGCAGTTCACTGTCTTTCTGTGTATCTGGGATTGGGTACCAATGTTTTGAGCAAAACAAGGTACAACTAAACAATAAAGCTCCATTTATTTCTACCTCAGGTCTAAATTCTGTAAACCCAGGCAGTGCACTGATGCAGATCAATAAAGGACAACAGGAGCATTAGGTTTCAATCTGCAAGAAAGATGAGGTATAAATTTGAATACGGTAGACCAAACATTGCTGCAAGCTGAGGTTTAGAAATCAAACACACCTATAATATTATTACAGGAAAGTGTTGTAAGACTCTGTAGCATTTGGAATTCAGTTCCATAAAGGTGCTTTGGAGCGTGTAAGAGCGCAAATAGCCCTGTATGCAATTTTTTAAAGTAATCCTTTTCTCAGCATCTTTAACTGGCTGGTTATATGAAGACAGCTCAAGTAAGAAAATCTTTTTCTTTTCTTTTCTTTTCTGATACTCTGTGTGGAATCAGCTGTGGCAGTTATTTTGCATTTATTAATCTAGATTTACATGGCATGTCATCTAGTAAGACTGCAGAAATATTTCATTATTAAACTAAGCTATAAAACTATCATAACCGGGCTTTTCTTTCATAAAGCAAAGGTCATGCTGTTCAATATCATGTCATTTTTGTGTCTGATTTGTATTACTTTTTATTGTAATAAATCTTATTGCATTGCAACAGTATTATTGCATTACCACCAATACTTGTCTTATAGAGAGAACATTTCAGTCCTGTTTCATTGCAAGTTACAGCTTCGGATTAATTTTTTTCAAAAAATAAATGAATAAGTAGTATGTTTTTTACTCATTTGTTTAATTGGGTTCTCTTTATCTAGTTTTAGGACTTGTGTGGAGAACAAATCACGTTGTAGGTCATATTTAT